TGGTTTTTTTCTTGGTTGGTGATCTTGTGGGCGAGACAACTAGCCCAACAAAAACACTACATCAATTGTTGGTGTAAACTTAAGATTCTGCTCCATAAGAAAAGTCGTTGTGGCAGCCCCCCATATCATCAAGATTATCCAAAGTGTACTTTCTTTGTGAAATAGCGATTCATTGCTTTGAATATGCAACCTCAATTCCCAAGAAGTACTTCAATTCTCCAAGATCTTTAAAACAAAATTGATCCTGAAGAAATTTATTGAAGAGTCTCAATTGCTAAGGGATCATGTCATGTAATCACTATATCAACATAAATAAGAAACAACAGTGAATGAATTTCCTGAAGATCGAGTAAAATAGAGAATAATCCGCTTTGGATTGTTGAAAACCAGCATTTTGAATAGTAGAAGAAAATTTAGAGAACCATTTGCAAGATGCTTGTTTCAGCCCATAAATAGATTAGTGTAGTGATCAACTTACTTATTCTCTCCATGTTGACTGTACCCCGGAGGCGGAAGCATGTTAACTTTTTCATCCGGATCACCACGAAGGAAAGCATTTTGGACATTCATCTGGTGAAAACACCAACTTTTAGTGAGTAAACATCTAACAGTCACTAATTTAGCCACCACTCAAAATGTCTCGCTGTAGTCTATCCCTTCCAAGTGTCTATTATTTGTATAGTGTATGATTTTCCAGTGTCATCTAGTCCAAAGTTTCAATTAAAAAAGTGATGAATTGGATGTAATGCTTCCCAAATGAACGACATATAAACATATAACATGTCGCCTTTAAGAACTACCAACAAGAAATTTGTGTCCTTTTTTATTTCATAAAATCTTTTAAGTTAAGAAAATTCAGTATATACATGTCTTGACCAAGAAACACACACCCTAATCCGTTCAGGGACCATGTCTATTGCTAATACCAGATTCACTTGAATCATTTCAGATAACAGTTGTTAATGGAAGGAATCAAATATTTATCGTCGAGATTTATCCACAACTATGAATCATTTCAGATAATGCTCGTTTATGGAAGGAATATTTTTTTCTTTGTCAAGATCTATCCACTCTAGAAGATAGGAAGGTGAATCGTTAATACATACTGGGTTCCACTCATCAATCTTTTATAAATAAAAATGACGAGTCCTCTCTAACTTAAGCATTACAAACTTTTTCAAGATGTCTCTTTAGTACTTTTTACAAGTTTTGTTAAAAGAGCAATATCTAAATATGATAAAATCAAATACCGGAACCCCAAATTCTCAAGCTAACCTCGTTCATGTAGAGGCCTTGATGATTTCCATCTTGGATCAACCAAATCTTGACCAAGGAACTTCGCACCTTTGATCTATTACTAATGAAAGGCCAAATCTACAATAATGATAAAACCATGATCATTTCAGATAACGCTTGTTTATGGAAGCAATCAAATTTTCTTGTCGAGATCTATCCACTCTAGAAGATAGGGAACAAATCATTAATAAATGTTGGGCTCCACATATATGCGTCCATTAGTTTGTCAATAATGAAGAACGACAAAACCTGACTAGTTTAAGTATCGCAATAATCTCGATATATCTATCCGTCAGAAGTAACCTTTAACGTCGATATCTATCCACTCCAAAAGATAGGGAACAAAACATTAATTAATACTGGCCTCCATAAATATACGTCCATTAATTTGTTATTAATAAAAAACGACAAATCTATCTTGTTAAAAGAAGGCTAGCTCTTTCTTCCTGAGCTAGGATATATCCCAGTTCACGTCAAGTATAGAGGTTTTTGATTTAGTAATTGCTTGTGCTTCTCTTTTATTGTTACATCACTTTGCGAGCAAAAGACTGATATAGAAGCTTTGATAGCAGCGACGAAAAGTTCATACAGAGTCGTGAAATTTCAATTAGAGCAAGAGTAAGGGTACTAAAAAATAGCAACCAATCTTTAACGTCGAGCTTGAATTCACAATGTACTTAACAGTAGAATCAAAATTCAACTATTTTACAAATTGTGTTTAAATAATAATAATAATAATAATAATAATAATATCAGAGAAGTTTATTAATCCATTTCTACTGCCAAAAAAAAAAAAAATTCATTATCAGCACACCTAGAAACACGTCAGCGTTGATCTAAAGCCGCATTTTCCCCAGGATCACCACTTACACAAAACCAGTCAGAAGGGCATTTTTGTCTTTTCACATCCCTCTTCGCCTGGTGCCCGTACACGTTGCAAGTAGCCCCACATTATTCCAACATATTACATTACCGACTCTACCCCCATCCACCCATCCTCAGCCATAAAAACCCAAATCGAAATGTAACCCACAGAATCCTCATCTCCATTTCCGTTTTCATCGATTCATTCTCGATATATACAAACCAAATTCTCCTTCTTCTCTCTCTTTTTACAGCTCAAAAAATCAATCAGGATATGGCTCAGAAGAGAGAGAAAGAAGAAACGGAGCTCAAGGTCCCCAAAAATTTACCTATTTGCACCCCTCAGGCGCCGATTCCATCACCGCCTGTACAGCTGTCCGTTACCGGAGGTAATTGTGAGAGAGCGCCTGATGGCTCGGATCCGAAGGTTCCTGGCAACGACGAACAAAGAACTAGCTCGGCGACGTCACCGGAGAGGTCAGATCTGGTGGCTGCTACGCAAAAGGTTGGACGATTAGCTGCGGAGGTGGAGAATCGGGGCGGATTGAAGAGACCTAGAGAGGTGACCCGGTGTTCCGGGTCCGGGTGCAGGAAAAAGATCGGGTTGATCGGATTTCGATGCAGATGTGGAGAAATGTTCTGTTCCAAGCATAGATATTCAGATCGGCACGATTGTACCTATGACTACAAAGCGGCTGGCCGGGAAGCCATAGCCAGGGAAAATCCTGTTGTAAAAGCTGCAAAAATCCTCAAGGTTTGAGGTGAAAAAAAAAAACAAAAAAAAAAAATTGAAGATCTGGAATTAGGTAGAATTTGAAATTCGATAAACTAATGAGGGTATTATTGTTATTTTCCGATTATCATAATGGTAATTGAACTGCTTTATTTTACAATTTCAATTATTTTATTGAATTACTTTGAAATTAAGGTGTTTGATAACTGATAATTCGATACTTTGATTGGTAATAAATATAAATCGATGAGTAATTAAATTAATTAGATTTAGTAACAATTTATTGAGATGCTAATGCACAAGTGGTTGATGATAAAGTTGGGAAAGGTGACCGGTTGGCCCGATTTTCAAAAGATTGAAAAATTCAACAAAGGTTGGCCAAATTAAATAGTAATTGATTAATAAAAGATCTTAGAAAAAGATAAAACTCCTCGTGCTTCAAGAACCTGTGGTGTTACAACTTTTTTAAAAATTATTATGTCCTCCGTGACGTAAACACGGACATAAATATGAAACGGAGAAAGTGTAGTTAAAAATAAGAAAAAAGTTTTGAATTTACGTATAATATTATTTTATTCAAAATGTGATTGAAAAGAAGAGATAAAAATGTATTTTCAAAAGCTGAAAATTAAAATGTAATAATGTTGGAAGTTGAAACTTAATATAATTTCCCACAAAAGGGCTATGCAGTTCCTGGCTTTTATTTACCTCATTATTTGGCAAAGAATGTATTTTCGAATAGTAGATTAATGGAGAATTTAGTTAAAAAATAAGAATTTTTTTTAAATTTGTTTGTATTATTATTTTATTGAAAAATGAGTGATTGAAAAGAAGAGATAAAAATGTATTTTAAAAATAATGAGGATGGAACAATTGTTCAATATAGGAATAGGGAAGATTTCATAACTAAGAGGTTTAATTTTACCAATTTCAAATTTAAGAGATTATGTTTAAAATTTTAAATCTCGGAGTTTTTAAATTTTATTTATAAATTAATTAATTACACATATATTTTATTAATTAAATTAATGGTCACAATTCCATATAATTTTGTCACAAATTTCATATTATTAGTCACAAATCACAATTTTCATATATCACAAATTATTTTACAGTCACAATTCAGAATTTTTATAGGTCACAATTTGTTTATCAGTCACAAATAAAAAATTTATACATCACAATTTATTCATCGATCACAAATCTATCAAAAATTAATAAGTCACATATTATTCATTGATCACAAATCACAAATTTTATTTGTTACAATTTTTTTTTACGATCACAATTCAAAAAATTTATAAATTACAATTTGTTCATCGCTCATGAATAAAAAATTAAAAAGTCACAATTTATTTATAGGTCACAAATCACAAATATTATAAGTAACAACTTATTAAATAGTCACAAATTATCAAATTATCAGTCACAAATTAACAATTTTTTAGGTTATAAATTATTTTTTGGTCATAATTTATCTTTTTCATTAGTCAAATGTTGTTTATCGATCACAAAATAATCAATTTAATAATCACAAACAACCAAATAATATGTGACCACCACCAATACTTGTGCCTACCGCCTCACAACTGTCACCACCAGCATAACAACCGAAACCCAATAGTCGGAATCACCACCACTGAATGGCCTAAAAAATTTAAAAAAAAATTAAATGTAGAGATTCAATTGAAAATAAAGTCAAAATTAAGAGACCAAAATTAACCCCACTTCCTTCCATTATCACTCACACCAGAAACCCCGCTTCTCTCAAAGACACTATTTTTGTGCTACTGTGTGTACTTCTCTACTCCCACAATTATCATTCACAGTAAATTTAAATCATTCTATTAGGGTGCGTCTGATTGTAAGGGTAGAAAATAGGAGGAAAAAAATATTTTATAGGGAAAAGATTTACTTAAAAAATGTTTTGTATGGAAAATGATTTTAAATGTGTTTGATTAGTATAATTTTCAAAACGGAAAATTTTTAAATTTGTATTCGTTTGGCTTTATTTTATATGAAAATTATCCATTAAAGTAATAATTTTTTTTGCAATTGGTTATAAAATTTGTTTCTATTGCCAAAAAGTTAAAAACAAAAAACAAAAAAAATTGTTTTCTAAAAAATTATTTTTTTATCAAAATTTAGTATTCGTTTGACTTTGTTTTACACGAAAATTATCCATTAAAGTGAATTTTTTTTCCAATTAATTATGAAATTTGTTTTTATTACAAAAAATAAATAAAAATAAAAATAAACACACGTGAACTGGGAAAAGGAGGCAAATAGGCGAATGAGCCTCTCCCCAAGAAAATCAATTCCCTTCCACTTTTTGCTTCTTTACTACGCGACACTCACTATTTGTACTCACTCCTCCCATTTCCTCCCCGAATCCCTTCTTTCAATGGATCTTTTCTTGTGTTTAGGTTAGCTCATCAAACATGCCATTTCTTGGAAAATGGAAAACCTTTTCCATTTTCCAAGGAATTTGTTGTGTATCAAACACAACCCTATTGTTTTGAAAAATTTGAAAGAAACAAAGAACAACGATGGAAAGGGATTCTCCAGATGAAGAGGAGGATTGTGAGAATCTGATCCCACAAAACGACAGGCGAAATGACGGAATAAAATCCCCAAATCATTCACCCGTTGCGGCATAAAAAAAATATAAAAGGAGAAGCGATGTTGCTGCCGTTGCGAGGCACCATTGCCAATCGTGTGAAGTGGTGCTGCTGCCGTTGGTCGCGGGAGTCGGAGGAACCTTTGTTTTACTCGTTGATGTTGAAGCCGTCGGAGGGCGAAGGGAAGAGGGAGAGAAAGAGAGAGAGAAGGCAGCGTGGATAATGTTTGGGATTTTTAGGGTTTGGGTAGTATTAAAATTTTGAATTAATATCTGATTTTTGAAATTAAATCTTTAAAATTCCAGTATTGTGTAATTACCTCTTAGGAATATTAGAAAAATTTTAAGTAATATTTATTGTCCCAACTCCCAACTACATTAATTAATTTATCTTAATCTATTTGAAAGGGAAAGCAAGTCTATTTTCGTGGGATGATGGAATGCATAAAAGTGTATGTGCATGTAATAGTGTTCTAAAATTAGGTTAAATTGACATATTTAGCTCATATTTGACAATCATTATTTAAAAACTCTTTTTCTTATATATTCACACAATAAAAATATTTTACACGTAAATTCAAAAAATTTCATACTTTCTAATCACATATTCTTCTAAAAATCGTAATTCAATACATGATTTTTCTCATTTAACGATTGTACGTTAACATGATCGGTTGACTCAATTGAGGGCAATTGACATGTTTAGTACGTTAGGTTAGTACAAAATTATACAAGATAATTCAGAGTTTAAATTTAGATGATCGTTTTGCACCCAATGTAGATGTCACATAAGGCATTGCTAATTTATTATTAATTTAATAATAGTTGTCACTTATGAATAGTGTCAATTTCGTCTCTAAAATGGAAATAAAGTGACATGAACTTGCTTTTGTTGAATAACGAATCAAATATGAACATGAAATGAAAGGAATGACGCCACATTCAAAGAACTAAACCTTTTAAATGTCATGAATGGGGTTAGAATCACCACTCTCATGGTAAAGCAAGGATTTTATGAAACTCTTCAAATTTAACTACGTAATTTATGAATTCTTGAAGAATTAACTTCTTTAATTTTAATTTTAACAAACACTGTTTTTAAAAGTTCGTGTCTTACACGACTACTGTACTATAAGATGTATACCTTATCGGTGGCTCTTTATCCTGTCTTTCAATTTCAAATATGTAGATTTTAAAAAGTAGTGTCGAGAATTATTTCATGAATCTTAATTTTTTTTTTATTATTATTATTATGGTCACACTCAATCTAATCGTAAAGTGACGCAACAAAATTCATCCACTTGTTCATAATATTTTAGCGACATGAAGCATAACGAACATGGTTCACCCATGTGAATAAATAGTATGCGGAATATGTTGAATTTGTCATATCTCAATAGAAAAGATAAAACACCAAATTGTGTTGATAAAACTATAGGTTGGGTCATCAACTCCACTAGTTAGGTTATGGACGAAATGGTCAAATTGAAATAAAAATATAAGTTAGAAGGTTAAATTGAAATAAATTGAAGTTGAGTAACCAATGCGGAATAAAAATAAATGGGTGGTTTATGACGCATTCAATTCTCCATTGTCTTTACAACGCGCAGTACCTCAATTGAAACTTGAAACCCTAAACCCCAAGGAACTATCACTATGAGAAGGGCTTTGCTGAGGAATTTACCTCTCTATGCCCGTAATCTCCATTTCTGTCACAAACACGAATCGAAAAGGGTGATCCTGTGCAATGGAAGCACCAATTTCAGTTCAAGTAATGTACCGCAAATCAGTTGCTTCTCTTCGAGAATCCGATTTTTTTCATCTGAAAATGATATCACAAAAGAAACCGCAGAGACGAACCAGGATTCATCCGAATCTAGCGTCAGCCAAACCGAAGAGAAGAAACAAGTGGCTGTCGAGGTCCAAGATGTATCCAACAAAGGTGAGAGCCCACATATTGAAAAATGTATTTTTTTTATTTTTGTGGGTTGAAATAGTGGGATTTATTTCCTAGTTCATCTAATTCACATTTGAGATCGAGGGAAACTGCATTGTATCTTGATGTATTGTGTAGTTTTTTGAAGCTCAATGTTTTCAAGAAGAAAATGGATTTTTTAAATTGATTAATAAGATTGTTTATAACGAATTATTGAGGAATGCCTGTATCGTTAACGTTGGAGAAAATTGGAAATGTTAAACTGTAATTTGATTCCTGTTATAATTGCTCAGGCATTTAATTGTTTCAAGCTCTACCGACTAGGCTTTTAGTAGTTGTATTTTTTGAAAACTGATTAAGTAGATTGCACAATGTGCTGCTCTGAATTCGGATAATAAAGCTTTTGTCTTTTGATGAACTACTGGATTCGGTTGATGAGTCATTATGGACTTACTACTGCTAGTCTAATCTTTCTTGAATCAAGATGTTTTAACTATTAAGATTTAATTTCTTGAGTATAAATCTGAATATTCTTGAATTTGTAACAGCCTCTTTCCTTGTAAGACCGTGAAACAAGTCATATGTTTGACGGGAACTAACTTGCAGCTTTATTTGTAATATTATGTTTGCAGAGTTAAAATTGCAGATAGAGGACTACTTCAAGAATGGCAACGAGGAAGCACTCCCATTAATCCTTGAGAGTATTCTAAAAAGGAGTCTTTCTAATAAGCATGATGACACAGATGATGAGTTGATGGAAGATCTTCAAATGCAGCCGATAGATAATGTTAAAGACCAAGATTTTGAATCAGATTTTGAGGATGCTTATGAAACGGATGAAGAGATTGATGATTTGTACAATGCAAGGGATATTGTGGTGAAGAAAATGGCAGGTGATCCGTACTTTAATATGGATGACAAGAAGTGGGATGACATGATTGCAGAGGCTGTCGAACATGGGTATCTGAAGGATACTAGGGAGTGCGAGGCAATACTAGAGGACATGCTTAACTGGGACAAACTTCTACCTGGTAATAGATCTATTCCTTATCACACTTTCAGAAATTCTTTGATTTCATTTTTCATGGTGGTTTTGGATTGATCAAAAACTTTTCGCTCTTTCAAAAGGCATTGATTTTTGGGACATGTGTCAATCTTCCTTTCATTCTTCTTCGCTTGCACCTTTGCATTATAGTTCTTTTTTCTCGACTTATACTGTTGATGTAAACTGAATATATTTTTACATTTCATTTGGTCTACTTTACCATTTTCTCATACGACAAGTTATATTCTACTTATTTTTCTGTTTTAAATTCCAGGATACATGAAAATACCACCGTTGCAACATTTTATGAACTTAAAACACTTCATAAATTACCACAAACAACCTCAAGAAATGCAAATGAGGAATACTTGTAATTATACTTCAGATGGGTTTTTAGTAATTGTCCTCTACCTATAAGAAAATGCATGCAAATGAAGTTTTCCTGTATTGCTATATAATTGGCTTTTGTATATGTACATATGATTTTACCTGTGATATAATTGAAATCTGAATTCAAACGAAACTTTCCTGTGCAATCTAATGTAACAGATAAAAAGTTACTTTTGTACGGGAACAAGCAATACTAATGTACCTTAAACAATACTGTATTTACTTGTCCTAAATTTTCAAGTCCCTAATTTCATCTTAAAACATGCTAGATTAGTATGTTTGAAATGATAATGATATATGCATTTGTTATTGTGGATTATAGCATAGTGATACAATTTCATGGATCATTACATGCACATTTTTCCTCTATCAAACATTGTGGTAATGTTTTCCAATATTTCTTAGATTCTGTTTATAATTTGAGTTGACTTTTATCATTTAACAAACATTTCTCAGACAAGATAAAAAAGAAGGTGGAAAAGAAGTTTGACGAGATAGCAAACAGGATCGAGAAAGGTGAAGTTGAAGTTGAAGAAGGCTATGCATTGTTTAAGGAGTTTGAAGACCAAATGGTATTGGAATGTGCTAAATTGATGGAGGCTGAGGCTCCTGAACAGTTTGATGAGACTGCTATACCGGATAAGAAAAAAGATCTTGATGACCCACCAGGTGAGGGCCCAATTCTTAGGTGGCAAACACGCGTGGTCTTTGCTCCTGGTGGTGATGCATGGCACCCGAAAAATAGAAAAGTAAAATTGGCTGTTACTGTCAAAGAGCTCGGTTTGTCAAAGCATCAATTCTGCCGACTAAGAGAATTAGCAGGAAACCGATACAATCCGGGAAAAGATGAACTTACCATAACCAGTGAGAGGTAACTCAGTTGCAGATTCTGTATTATAAATTTTGGATAATTATAAATTTTAATTGAACTATGTAATACCCCAACCCTAGTCTAGATTCTGCATCTTTTTTGTAATTGCTCACAGCTTTGTGGAATTTGGGCTATTCTTCAATTTTGCATTACCAACCTGTACATTTTTGTCTATTTTTAACATTTTGTTCTCTACTCAGGTTTGAACACCGTGAGGAGAACAGAAAGGATTGCCTCCGGACTCTCTTTTCGTTGATTGAGGAGGCAGGTAAAGCTCGGAAACTGGTGGAGGACGCTGGAACTTCAATCATCAAAGAGAGACTTAAAGCTAATCCAAAGTTCATGCAGAGGTTGCAAGCTAAGATGGCGAAAACTAGAGAATCTACTTCATTACCTGCATGAATTAGCTCGACCACCGGCATTGGTATATGAATAACAAAGTTAGATCTTCGGACAATTATTCAACGATACATCTTTTGAAGTAGTTTCCTCGTTCATGTTTGCACCAGAAATTACAGTGCTCCCAGCCTCGGGCATTAATTTAACAGTTACTCTGTTCAGTTCATCTCTATTGGATCGGTTGGTTTTCACAGTTTGTGACGAGAGAGAGCAGAAGATAAATTGAATAAAGTGTATTTCTGCAGTAATTACAAGTCATAAAATAAATGTGCAATTGCATATAATGCAAATTAAACAAATCTACTTTTAAATGCGATTTCAATTATTACACAAATATCATCTTTATTACAACAAATAACATCACTGTTATTTCTTGTGACGTTATTCGACTGAGGAAGGGTCTAAGCCATGATTTTTGAGCTCTCTATATTCATGACAAAGAGCACAAGGAAGGCAAAAGAAGTGAACTAAGCAATCTCCACAAGGGTCTTCAGGCAGCTTAAAATAAGCTCTTAATTTTGTGCGATATGTGCATGTACAATAACAATAATAAATTGTCCCAGCATGAGCACAAGCTGCAAAATCAATTATAAGTAAAACCCATTTACTACTTCAAAGGAACAGATAAAAATAATCACTTATTTTGGTCGATAAATAAGTATATAACTTACATGTGGCTCCTTTGTCAATTATTTCGACATTGCGGCCAAAGGTGATGCATGGACAGCAACAAGTCACACAACCTGTAAGCACGATACATAAAAAAAATCTCCTCAATCGTGAATGTTATACGACTCACAAACTAAGTCACATTCACCTTATCACAGAAAAAGTCTAGCTAAAATCCGTTAAAGAAGGTTCAGTGTCAATGTCAATGTCAACGTCAACTAATAGTCAATCATACTAGCATATGTACCAAGACATCAAACTCAACTCATATGTTCACTCAAACATCATGAGAGGTATTAAGTGCTTGTTTGGTAAGGATTTTTGGGGGAAGAATTGATTTTGAATAGTGATATGATGAGAAATGTGATTGAAAAAGAAGAAAAAATTATTGATGTCATGGAAAATATTATATTATTGAAGAATGTGTGGTTGAAAATGAAAATTGATTTACTGTAGAAAATAAGAATCTCTACCAAACAGGCCCTACATTTTTCTATCGCTTTTCTCCAGGTTTTATGTGGCAGAAGTTCTTCTTGCTTTAGAGTATTTGCACATGCTCGGGATTATTTACCGAGATCTTAAACCCGAAAATGTTTTGGTGAGGGAAGACGGGCATATAATGCTTTCAGATTTTGACCTCTCCTTGAGGTGTGCAGTGAGCCCAACGGTAGTCAGATCCTCGAACTCCAGCTTGGAATCAAAAAGCTCGGGATACTGTGTTCAACCATCTTGTGTCATCCAACCGACTTGTATCCAACCCACGTGTTTTGGACCTCGTTTCCTGGGCAAATCCAAGAAAGAAAAGAAATCCAAACCAAAGACTGAAATATATAATCAAGTGAGCCCTCTTCCGGAACTCATTGCCGAACCGACTAATGCTCGATCGATGTCCTTTGTCGGTACACATGAATACTTGGCACCAGAAATTATCAAGGGCGAAGGCCATGGGAGTGCGGTAGATTGGTGGACTTTCGGGATCTTTCTCTACGAGCTTTTGTTTGGGAGAACACCTTTTAAGGGATCAGAAAACCGGGCTACTTTGTTTAATGTAGTCGGACAGCCCCTGAGATTTCCTGAGTCTCCTACAGTTAGCTTTGCTGCACGGGACTTGATCAGAGGTTTACT